CCATTACTTAAGTCCATCACTCGTACAAATATGTACAAAACTGAACTAATTTGAAGACAAAACATGCCGTATTGTTATACATTTCATAACATTTTAAATCCCTACTACGTCTTAAATAACGCTCGTCACCTCTTGGGGCGCCTTGTATTCTAAAAGTTTACAGTATCTTAAACAATGCAAGCTTTCATATTGAAAGCAAACGTAGACTTAATAGCGTATCAAAATAATTTTTCCGAAAAAAACTTGTTACGAAAATTTGTTATGGAGTCAGTGTAAGTTACAGTGGCCTTACAAAAATTATCGCTAATAATTTGTCTAAAATATTTTACGGATACATGTGGATGGAATTCCGCATTAAGCAAAACTAATTATTTCAGATATAAAATCACATATAAAGAAACGCGATTTCGTCAAAACCTCGACATTTATTTTAAGAAAAATATTATGAGCTAACGTTTTGTTATGCATAAATGATTCCCCAGCTATCGATATACCTGAACGTTTGCTCTTCATCGCAAGCATATTAAAAGCGATTTATTCGATATTCCCTGTGTTGTTCTCAAATGTATACGCAATTAAATATTAAACGCGTTTGGTGCAATACTTATTAGGGAGGCAGGGATATACTTATACATTGAACAGTTCCAAGTGTTTTATTTTTGTTGGATACGGCAGATTTTGTGACGACGTAAACGTCAAAACAGCATAAAAGTTCAACCAAGTGTGCGCAAGTAAATCTCGCAGATTTCTTGGCACTTCTTGGGGGCAAATTTTAATTTGACTGAACTAAAATCAGATCAGTTTTAAGGTTTAATTTTTATTTGTGGCTTGCGGTCTGGACATAACGCCGATATTAGAACAGGCCTGTTAGCAATAATGAGTACCGATACTCACATCACATTGCAGAAAAGAGAAGAGAAACAGAGCACGATAAGCGTTTGACAGAACAAAATTTGTCAGCAGAAAATACAATTCAGGATCAGCCACAACCCTCTACATCTAATATACGCCAATCTAAATCGCCATGCTGGCAGTGACGTTCCATGCATTTTGTACGTGAATGCGCCTGATCGCACATACAACGATTATAAAAAAAGTGACCACAAAGAGAACTACTGACCAACTAATTAATGCAGCAAACCACAAAAGCATTAGTGATATACCAAGAAGAAAAGTAAAGTAAACGTTATTCACAATGCCATTGATTCACTGTGAGAATAGATATCTTTACGTATAAACGATTATGGTAATGTTGACACGAAATCGGAATTACATCAGAATGTCATTCGTCTGCTATAGCAAACACTGCCGCTGAGGCAACAGCACAAACACCACATAACACTTTAGGTAAACCTCTCAAGATTATTGGTGAGTTTGATTGCGCATTTGCTACAAATTTATCGTTGCTACGTCGGTCTAGAGTCCTAGAGTCGGATCTATACAAATTTTATTGGACCGTATCAAGGAAAATCGTTTTCGATAATGCTGAATTTATTTTTTAAGTAGCCAGACGTGGTAGTATTGTCGACTACGATCGTGTTAGCCACAACCTCCACACTCAGCCGTATGTTCGCTGGATATGTTGTCTTCAAACAGACAAGCAAAACTATATGTAGGTCCTCTCAAAATGGCATTAGCAATGTTAAAGGGAGAGGATCCTATAAAGCATAATATAGGCACTTAGCTACAAGAGTGCAGAGCATCCAGAATTGCCAGACAACAAAGGCCCAGCCAAAGCAATGATTGGAAGGGAAATATTAATTCCATTAAGTTCGATCCATCCCCTGTTTACACAAAATAAGGTGCAGTTGCATCTCAGAAACCTTAACTTATCGTAAGCTAAGGGTTTCAAAATAAACAACTTGGTTTACCTATAAGTTTCTAAGCCAATTCAGACTTGGATACCCGGAACGATAATCGCCAAGTTTGCTGGTAACGTATACAGAGTCGTCGCAGATGAAAAGGAATTGGTGCGCCACATTAATTAGACGCAAATGGCGGGTGGAATTATCAGCTTTAAATGTAATTGATGTTTTTGAAAGGAATCCAAGAGAACAGTCCCCCTGGAGGGAAACCGCCGAAGCCATTGCAGGCAAGACACAAATATTCGTCTACCTAAGAATGCAAGCGTTACCTCAGGTAGTGAGTGCAAGCATATTAAAGGCGAATTACTCAGTATGTTTAGTGCAGTTCTCGTGGGTTCAAAATGGTAAGAATAAAACGTGTTTGAGGTAATAGACAGTAAAGACGCAGAAATATATATAGATATATTGAATTTTTCCATCCATCTCATTTCTGTTGGCCAGGACACATTTATCTTAACTTCTGCGAACCAACTACATTGTTTGCCAATCAGTGTGTAACATTATTTACTCTATTTAGTCAGCGCGCAATACACTATTATATTTAAAGAGGATGTATTTTAAAACAGAAGAGAACAGAGAAAGAGGAGATAATTCGTATACGTAAAATGCTAAGTACTTCTACGGTGTTACTCTGCAGGGTTTTTTCTTTCAATAGAAGACGAAAAGTTGGTATTAACACATTTAACCTGTTAATATATAACTGATGGTTTCAAATTAGGAAAACGATAAAACAACTTAATGTCATCAGCACACATTAGCATATAACTCTTTAAAAATGTTGAATTCTGTACTACTTAGTGCCAAAAATGTTCACTTGTGTAGGTTTGCAATAAAGGCTCTCTATAATACTTTTTAACTAGATGCTGGCTTAAACCGCAAGATTGTTCAATTCTCTGTTTATATAATGTACCAAATTATTGTTCTGAGAGATACGCATACACACTGTTCACATTTTTGTTAACTAATACACCCGAAAGGGACGCTATAGAGTTATGCTAGTATTCAATCTAACCTTAATACCAAATCGAGGTCAAAGTTCCCGGTTTTGTCAGTTTTCAGAAGAAACTAACAAAATAACTGCAAGAAAATCGAAGACAGGCTATTAGTTTGAAGGCTTTGGGATTTAAAATGTATTGTTTCATATTTTACGGCAATAGCGTAGGAATTGAAATTGTTTATAAGAGAAAGTGGAAGATTTTCATATATTTTCATCAAAATGCAGCATATTTGTATAGTAGTGCGTATAGTAAATGTTGACGTGAAATTTTTTGGTGTACATTATAAACATAATAATATTCTCTGTGAACATATAACTTAATGATAGACCTACACTTAAGAAAAGATTAGAGCAGCTCGAGGACGTGCAGTAAGTAATGTTTTACAATTTATTTACCGCAAGTTTGAAGAAAGAACTAACATTTAAAAACTCAACCCATGTAGATATATTTACTATCTTTTCAACTCGTTCGTAGCCCTTTCTAAAAATCCAAATGATATCTATAATTAAATCTGAACGTTGGATTTGTCAAATCCTGTTCAATTAATTCTCCTTAATATGTGGACATTGCCTACATCGTATTTAAATTAACTTGATATCTTTTGGGAACGGTATTGAATTTGTTCATTATAACTTTTTATCAAGCTTTCCTGCGTTTGCAAAAACTCACGGTTCACTCCAAACCCGGCTGCGCGTGTGCCACAGTGCTACATGTCTACATGCATTTTTTCTTTTTTTTTTCTGCCGTATCTATTTATATACAAATTTTGTTATTTTTATTTACTCTTTTTTTGTTTTTTTTTTTTATATATTTTGCAGTAGTTATTATTAATCCTCAGTATAATATTTATTTCTAAGAGTCAATTCGCCTGTTAGTTTACCTCAGCTGAGTAAATAAATAAATAAATTAATCTTATAACATTTTTTCAACCCAAAATTCTTTAAGATTGACACGAGCAAGAGACACAAAGTTTTAGTAATTCCGAAAGCGTCTACGTAACATTCGGTAGTTTTAAAGCTTAGCATATTTTATCTGCTCTTCAAGATAAATAAGTAAAGTTGTCATATTAACAATTTCCATTTTTCTAGCACTTTTCATTTCTGTACTCTGGAAAAGTGTACGCTTTTCCAATGGCTTAAAATTTAATTTTGTGCTAATGCATTCTCTTTTTCTAATATATTCTTTATATCTTTTAAATCCATGCTTAAATAAAACAGGGGTGAAAAACAAAATATTCTTAAACATTGCTTTTTATATATTCCAAACAATAAAGCAGCGCATTTCATTATCAACACTAGAATTACCGATTTGGCTATTTCCCACTTCCAAACTGCAAGAAAATGGTTATGAAGCATATAAAACTCCAATTTCTTTTTCCTGATTCTTGTTTATATGATAAACTTGTAAGCAGCTATAATCAATATTTTTCTACTTGTTCTAGTTTTTGAAATGCAATACAAGTATTTCAACCAAAATGGGCAAGTTGATTGACTATTTGCGGATAAAATGGTGAAATTTTGTACAAACATTCCTTGATTGGTAGTAGTCAGAGGTTAAAAAATAGTTGTCGAATTTTCAAATTCCCACGCGTAAGAGGTAAGAAATTGGTACAAGATCGAAAAAAAGCCTTTTCCTATGTTCGGTCCAATATTTGCTAATACTTGTTACCCAGATCTTTACTCGCCACAGTTTTATGTTCAGCCTAAAAATGGTCCGGGCTTGCTAATACTAAAACTTTGTTAAATTTTATCATCCTATATTCATTTTTGCTACTCTGACACTTTCACAAAATAACGGATCAAATTGACTCATTTTGTTAAAAAAAAAAGTGTGTAGTGTTAACTATTACAACAAAAAGCTTCGAACAAAAACAAACTATACGGCCCAAAAATTCCTTAAGATTTGTAAAATTCAATAAATACAATAATTTGAATTCTTAATGGCTCCAAAATCATATAAATGCAAATAAGACTCGGTATAGATAAAGGAGATTTATAGCTACGAGAAAATTAACTGCACTTTTACTATGGGAGAATCATTTATATGTGTTTGCTTGAATAAATTAAAAATGGAAGAAAATAAAGTAGAAATTTTGAAAAATTGTTTTTATAAAGTAAATAAAAATATTCGTACTTACCATCCCAAGACTTCCCGCACTACCGTTTGAATATGAGTATGGTGAAACAAGGTATCCCATATTAAAACTTGTCGGATGTGGTTCGATTTTACCTAATTTAAAAAAAGGATGTTATTTAAAAAACATATTGAACATTTTTTTAATATGCGTTGAATTGTATACCTTAATGAAACAAATTTTGTATAGATGTAATGAAATAAGAAATTCTATATTTTCCAATCAAACTGTGGTTGAAACACTAATGTATGCAGAATGTGAACCCAAAATTCAACTATTCATACTTTTATGTAATGGTGCGATCAATAAGTAAGATACCTAATAAGGAAAGACACCACTTTGTTGCAACCACCAGACTTTATATTTTTACCATTATTATTACCATTTAATTTTAGCTCGACAAACCTCGATCTCACGACTTTATATTAGTTTGGGGAAAAAGAAATCCATTATTTTTATATGAACTTCAGGACTTTATTTAACATGCTTCGGATTGTCCGATTTGGGTCAAATATGCACCGTTTTGTTGTATGATTTGTTGCCATTTTAAAGGTCATTTCAAAATGCCTCTCTCATAGAAGTCCTGGTCTCTATTTGCAAAAAACTCTAGTAGTCGATTTTCACAATCCTCCCTAGATTCCAATTTTTTATCATTAAAGAAATTTTGCAATGCAAGAAAAAGATGATAATCGCTTGGTGCCAAGTCCGGACTGTATGGCGGATGCATTAAAACTTCCCAACCAAGTTCCCGAAGTTTCTGGCGAGTCACTGTAGATGTGTGTGGCCTAGCGTTGTCCTGGTGGGACACGACACCTCTCCTGTTGGCCAATTCTGGCCGTTTCTGGTCAATCGCTACCTTCAAACGATCCAGTTGTTGACAGTAGAGTTCAGAATTTAGCGTTTGGCCATATGGAAGCAACTCATAATAAATAATCCCCTTCCAGTCACACCAAATGCATAGCAAAACCTTCCTGGCCGTTTGAGGTGCTTCACCGCTCTTTGACTACGATGGTTTTCGCACAGGGTTATCGTATGTGATCCATTTCTCATCTCCAGTCACCATCCGTTTAAGAAATGGGTCTATCTCATTCCGTTTGGCCAAGGCTTCGCAGATGGAAATTCGATCCATCATGTGTTTTTCTGTTAATTGGTGTGGCACCCAAACATCGAGCTTCTTTTTGAATCCAGCTTTGTGTAAATGGTTTAAAACTGTTTTATGGTCGATTTTTAGCTCCTGGGCGATGTTACGACTACTAATATACCGGTCAACTTCGATAATTTCTCCGATTTTATCGACATTTTTGACGACCGGCCTACCTGTGCGAAGTGCATCTTTAACATCAAAAATTCCTGAACGGAATCTACGAAACCAAAATTGCACATAATTGGCTGTTACAGTATCGGAACCATAAACACCATTCACAATTTTAGCCGCCTGGCTTGCATTTTCGTCTTTGTCAAAGAAAAACTGTAAAATGTACCGAATTTTCTCTTTGTTCACTTCCATTTTTAACACGCTGTAAGTCACAACTGAATGCACCAAACAAAAAACAGCAAAAGAATTTTTTTTACTGCGAAATGTCACCTTTCCAACGAGCATAAATATGAAATTGTTTGATCGATACTTTACGAGAAATCTATCAGTGCAGCCATCTACCAAAAAAATAATGGATTTCTTTTTCCCCAAACTAATATATGTAAAAATTCATATAAAGAGGATAATACTATTAAATTACAAAGGAATCGATTAAATGCAAGGAAAAATAAGCAAGATACGGGATCGATTGGAAAGTTTTAACACTTAACGTCTTCATGTTACAACAATGACCTTTTCAACGTTCTTAAGCCATTTTTTGCCATCTGTATTTTCTAATTTTGTTAGCCCTTTCCCGTTTTACTATCATTCATATCGTGCGGCGCATGCTATTAATTATTCTCATATTTTTTATCGCATATTGCGAAAAAATAAATAAATAAGTAAAAAATATTCAATGTTGCGCAGTAAAAGGTTAATATAAAAATTGGGGTGTCTCCAAAGCTAGTATTATTTTTGCATTCAACACAAGCGGCAGTTGAAAATTAGCAAAAGCCCCAACTTGATGCCTTTTTCGTCCTTCTGATTTTGTTTATAACGTTAAAAGTAATAAAACATTTTTCTTAATAAACTTCCTGTTCCAAGTGCAAAAATTTAGTTGATTTTCAATCCCAAGTTTTATTGTACAATAAATCCATGAAATGCTGCGAGGTACGTTGCAGGAATGACGATGATGCAGGCACTGCCTGAAAGTGCTTTTTCACTCTCTGAAATTGTCTTTTTATTTAGGCACCAACGCAACCTTTTAGCTCCACTCCTCTTTGCATTGCTTAATTGAAGAAATATTGAAGCTGAAGTAAAGTTTTTTATATCGCACTTACTAGGACGCATGCCCACTTTTTGGAAATAGCATTCCGGTTTTTTTGATATCCACCACCGCAGGATGGACCCATATTCATTTTGTTCAAAAGCAAACGGAAACTTACAGAACTTCTAAAGTGTATAAACTCTTGTTCAAAATGGATCAATTTATGCATCTATATCTATCCGTCTGCGTAATTTCTATGGTAAACATTATTTGGATAACAAAATGTTACCATGCCTTGAAATGCTTATACGCATGTTGGGGTTATATATGACTTAAACCGGTCAAAGAATACGCCTATAGTACAATATCTCTGCCTTTTGAAATTTTCGCCCATTATTCATATATTCCAACAGATATAACGAAAAAAATTTTGACGTATATTTTATGGGTCAACCTACTGCACATGTATAGAATAGAAAAATTCAGCCAAGTCTACTCGATATTGTAGAGCATCAATATTATATTCCTTTTTTTTTGCTTTATAATGTTTCTTTTTTTAAATAAAGGTACTGAATGAAAAAAATTTAGTGATAATCGAATATAATTTTCTTACTTCCCTTTTTCACATCAATATACGCCAACATCTTAGGAGATTCTTGTTATATATAGCTTTTTTTATGTCGGGTTGACCAGCGCTACTCCAAACATCTTTGTTATCAAACTACATGCAAAGACGTATCAAAAGCAATGTAATTTTTTTCTCCGCGCCGCAGTGAAATTACGTTCATATTAAAACCATCATTTTAAAAGTACATGGCACTTTAAACATATATGGTATTTTAAAAATAAATGTATACGTCAACCCATACGTAAACAAGTGCGTTTATATCATGTTTTGACATTAGAGTGTCTGGTGCATGATGCAAATGCACGCAGCGTTTTTAACTCTTTAAGTGTGCGGTACAACCGTAAGTTAAATAATAATAACTCAATAAATTTTTCTTATTTTAAGATAACATGATAAACCAAAGGATCTGCTAAACAGTGCGCATTCAATTGTCATTCTAAATCTAGTTCGTGCGAAGGGCAGCGTAAAATACAGAAAGACTTCAATTGATCGTGTTTTTGCACTTCTCTCTCTCTCATATGTTCAATTGGGATCGCTCAACGGCTCTTGAGTGCGCAATGAAAACAAGAAAAGGCATTGCCATTATTAATTACAACCAAACAGAACTAGAACTAATTGCTTTCGATAGGAAAGTAAAAAGCAAAACAATTATAATGAAAGATAATAATAAGAATGTTTACAATAATAACATGGGTAACAAAAACACCAACAAAAATGTACACGCACATTCATGCATACGCAGCATCAAAAATTATTAATTTGAACAACAGCAGCATTTACAGCAAAAAAAATCAGCATAACCACGAACAGGCACACAGACAAGTAGATTGCACTCAACGAAAGAACGTGCTTGCAAGTGCTCCGTGCTTTCCTGTCAATTTTAAAAAAAATGAGAGGAAAAGCAAACAATTGCACTTTTGTGCAAATGAAAAAAGTTTGAAAGCGCGCGATGTAGGGAAACGGTAGAACCGAAGTGATGCAAAATACAAAAAAGAGGATATAAAATTTCTCGGGAAATCGGGAGATTGTAATCTTGCTATTGTTTTGTGTACTTCCCCTTTTTGGTAAACAGTTGTGGTGTTCAGTGTAAATTTCGAAAAACGCAAAAAGAGAGATAGAGCAAAAATACGAGTGAATCTTGGGATAACTGCCTTCCATTTCTAAATTAGTTAGTATAGCTGCACCATGTTTTAAGAGTGGTCCTTGCGCACATATGAATAGCACAGCTAGAGCTGAGCTTGCTTTTTAACTTGTTTTATTGGTGACATTGACCGGCGGCCACGGTAAAAACAATTTCAATAAAAAAAAAAATTGAATAAAGTAATAATACCAATAACATTGGCAAAGAAAACCGTCAACAACAACAATGCATACTCACTCCCACATGAATAATCAAACACAATAGCATAATTTACAACTACAACACCTTCATATGCAGCTAAAATAACAATTACAGCAATTATAGCAACAGAACCAATAGCGAAACGGCATCAATAATAGTAGAAGCAGCAATAACAGCCATAACAACAATAGCAGCATCCACAACAATAGAAACACACATACATTTGCAATCGAAGACACATAAAATCAAACAAACGTACAAAAGTATATACACAAAGCGTACAACAACAACAACGGCCGCAACGATGACAACAAGGCCAACACCAATTAAAATAACGAAAACAACGCCATTACCAACAGCATGATGTCATTTAAGAGAAAATGTAAGGCAACGACAAACAAACAGAGCGTGTCCTTATTCGTACGGCCCGAGGAAGGGAAGACGTTCCGTTTAAACGAATCTTCCGTATAGCATGCTCGCCGCAGTGGCTGACGGTGCGCCAGCCAGTGCTTGCGTCTCTACCATCGTTGTAAGTAAATGCAGCGACAAAATAAGTTTATGCTTTGACCGTATTAGGTGGAAAACTGCTCCAGCTGCTCGAAATGATGGCAGTTAAATGTTGCAAGGCGATTTGGTAGAACTTCTCGTTGCACTGTAATAAAAAAAGCGGTACAAGAGCCGAAGGTACTAGCAGGGCAAAAACCTCTCAGAGAAGGAGCGACTCCAAGCGACTACCAAATGAAAAATGCTAACTCGAATGACAGCAGACACATGGTCGAAAAG